GGTAATAACACAAGGTGTCAGTTCTGTAGAGGAAGTTAATGAGATGTTCCAAGCTTGCAAAAAGCTTGCTTCAAGAACATACAAATCAATTAATAGTCAGAGAAGAATCATTGATTTTTGCAGAGAAGAAAAAATCAACTTTAAAAAAATCATCACACAATGGAAGACAAGATGGAGTAGTGGGTTTATGTGCATGATCTCTATTTTACATCATTAAACCAGCATTACAAATTGCAACTTAAAAACTGATGACATTTTAAGATTGCTTATCCCTACGCAAGAGCATTTTGAAGTGATTCAAAAAATTGTTCCAATTTTACAAGTGTTCATTGCCATTACAGATCTTGTGTCTTCAGAAAAGTATTCTACAGCTCATCTAATTATTCCTGGCTTGTTTGATATTCAAGAAAAAATTAAACTATTAATTTTACCAAGCAATACCATCACAACTAATTTAGTGTCTAGACTACTATCAAATCTCAGCTAAAGGTTTCCAGATTTCAGGTTTGAGCAAAATGCATTAGCTCTTTTCCTTGACCCCAAATTTAAAGGTCACTTTCTACCAAGATTTGGAAGAGAGAGTTTTACTATTTCACAGTTGAAAAGATGTGCTTTAGAAGATGAGCAAGCCCAAGAGATGTAACATTTGCCAACAGCAAGCACACCTCAAGAGCAATAAGACCTTTCCCCAGCTGAGGCACTCCTTCAGAGATGATGAGCCACAACAGCCAGGAATTACCCTCACTTTTGCACATCTAAAACATCACCATTTGAAACTGAAGTGGAAGCATAAAAGTGACTAGGCTTTTCACCAAAAAATTTTGACATTCTAAACTGGTGGAAGATTCACACTCCTCAACTACCTCTTTTGGCAGGAGTAGCCAGAAAAGTTTTGTGTATTCCAGCATCATCAACGTCATCTAAAATAGTTTTTTTACAAGCAGGAAACATTATTATGTGCAAAAGAACATTGTTAAAATCAGACACAATTGAAAAACTTGTTTACATTAAACAAAACATTTCAAATGCTGTTATTAAGAAGTGGTCAGTTGAAGAAGACAAGCAGAACATTGATAAAGACTTTGATTTGTACTTTCATTAAAATTTTCTGGCTTAAATAAAAACACCATTTGAAAATAATTTTTCTGATTCTTTAATAAATTGGAGCTCAATAAATCATTTTTTTTTTGTCTCATCGAAATTGTTTATTGATGTATAGCACTGATATTTTGTTGATTAAGTGGAGCATTTGTAAAGTTAATGGGTTTTAATTACGGTAAATAGTAAGTTCTTTTTAGGCAGGTTAACCAAAAGAAGTGTATGGTTCTTTTGATAGTGGTGATAATTTAAATTTACACTATCAAACACTATCAAAAGACAACTTTCAATACCGAACTTTTGAAAGTGTTGATATTTAAATAACTTACTATCAATTTCATTATCATAACTTTGGTAATTAATAGTGACTGGTTGTTAATACCGACCAGAATATAATATCGACTTTTCTCACTACCGCAATCCCTTAATTTAAGGGTCTATTTTTTCTTTTTTTTTTTTTTGTACAGGAAGATTATTTTTTTATCTTTTTCAACCAATAAAAATGATAATTTAATTATTTTTTTATTAAAATAATCAGCATACAATTCTGCCCAAAAAAGTGTTTTTACTTTTTAATTATTTTGTTGCAAATATTTTTTTCCCATTTTTTTGTTTTTTTAGTTATGATTGATTTCAAACTGAAATCTTTCATGATTGCAATATTTTATAATGTTTGATTTGTCTTGCTTAAACGCTTAATTAAAAAAAAATTTAATAAATTCATTATAATAAGTGAGTTATAAAACTTTTTATTAAAACCTTTTGGATGTAACCTAGGGAGTTTTTGTTTCCAAGCCTTTCCGGTAAGCGTGTGTGGTTGCATGCCTTGTTCACCCACACATAAAGTATTTTTTTTAGACAATTTGACAACTTTTTATATAGTAAGCGTTTTAAAAATTTGAGGCAAAATAAAACTATAAGAAATTAGAGAGAATAAAACAGCAATACTCGAAGAAAAGAACCGAAGACTATACAAAATAGAAAATCTTAATAATATAAGCTAAAAAAAAATTAACATAAAAAAAAGAAAATTGTTATCAAAAAAAATAATATCTAAATATTTTACTGTTTTTGTTTTCTTATTTTTAAGGCATTTTTTTATTTTCCACTACCAAAATTAATACAAGTCAAGGAAAAAAGAAGATAAGAATATAATGAAAACAAAAATATTTTTTGATGTACAATTTTTTCATGACTTTTTTCAGTCAGTATATTAAGGAAATACTTTATAATTAGCGCTAGAAACATGGAAAATTTTTAAATTTGTTTTTCAAATTTGTTTTTGTTAAATTTTACTGTTTTTATCAATGCTCAGAGGCAAGCAAGAAAACTAATTGCTATTTATTTGTAATTTTTTTTTTTTTAAAACAAGTTTTTCATGTAAAAAAACAAAAACTTATTAATACTAATATTTAAATATAAAATATTTGGTTGTTTTCAATACCCCCATTGAAATAGTCTCACTTTTGTAGAATTATCCAAATTGTGCATTTAAACCTGATAGTTTATTTCATGATGAACTATTGTTATTGTTATGAACTATTGTTAATGCTCTAAAGGTTTGAGGGCTAGTACATTGTTTTTTAACTGTTTTTTTAGTACATTGATAATTAACTGAACTTTTTTAATGAAAAAAAAAACAGCCTATTTATAACTTCTTTTTAAGTTTTTAAATACATATTTTTAAACAGAGCATTCCTTATGTTCATTATGTCTAGTAATTTGTATTAACATTGGAAATTGGGCAATATGAAAGAATGCATCAAATGTGGTAAACAAATTTATTAAAGAAACCATGTTATTCTTTTATTTAACTTATTCTGTCATTACAAAACTTATTGATCAAATAATATATTTTACAAATTAACAATTTATTTTCTTTTTTTCCTGTTATATAAGGATTGAGAAAATAACGTTAAATATAGCAAAAACATTTAAAAGTGAAAAGACGTACAATGCGAATGAACGTAAGAACTTTAAAAAAAAAAATTTCTCATAGTTCTAGCGTACATAACAAAATAGTTTCTTAATTACATGAACTCATAAAAATCGTGAATAAATCAAAACAATCATATCAAAACTTTCAATTGTTATTAAATCGTTATAAAAGATGTTTTTTTCAACAATGATTCTAAAAAAAAAGAATACAAAAGTTGTATAAAAACTTTATTAAAAACTTTTTTTTTTTAAATTTACTTTTGTTAATATTTAATTTTCTAGATTATTTAATCAAACTTAATATTTCATTACAATTTTGTTTCCTTCTTTTAGGATTGTTTTTTTTTCTTAGTAGATAAGTTTAGCTTTTTGACAAGAATTATTGAAACGCTTTATAAGTTAAAGGACAAATAAGGTGTGTGACCGCACACGATTCCCAGGAAGGCTTGCTTTCTGTTTTAAAAAATATAAAATAACATTTCTTTTATCAACATTTGATACAAATAATGAACTCAAAACAATGTAGAAATTTTAAACCAATTTAACATTTCTACAATTTCCATACCTGAACAAAATGTAACATTAGATTCTGAATGGCAAACCTAATTTAACTTGAACTATCTAGGACACAATAGATAATCTTCTAGGCTATCAATATCAGTATTGATAGCCATGCTTCTAAGTTTGAGTTGCATTATAAGTAATAAAATAAATACTGAATATAAAATAATTATATAAAACAAATATTTTCTGTTTTATATAAAACTGTTAACAAAAGAAAAAAAATGTCTAGTATATGCTTACAAATATCTACACAAGAACATAGAATCATATTTACAAAAAGAGATAATGAATACATTGAAGATAAAAACTGGGGTTGTTTGTATGCAAAAATAATTATGAAGAGAAAATAAGGTCAAATTTGTGGGTGAATTATGCTACATGTAACCGTGTTTTAAACTTTAATTGTCTCATCTCTGTTTAATTTTCAACTTTAACTGTCTAACTTCCCAAGATAATAAAAACAAATATAAAAAACTCATTAATTTTTCTAATTGTGTCAGTAATGCAACCAATCAATAATTATTAATAACTCTTTTAATACTCTAGATTTCTTGTTAAAATAAAAATTTCATGAGTACCAATAACTTGAAACTAGAACGAAACCAACTTTTATCTCTAATAGATACACTGTAAGAGGCAATTAATTAGTTAGGTTGTTTTTTGAATTACATTTCAATAATCTCCCAAGTTTTATATAATTAGTGCTAATAACTGTGGCGCTATAATATATTTATATATATATATATATATATATATATATATATATATATATATATATATATATATATATATATATATTTATATATATATATATATGTATATATATGTATATATATGTATATATATATATATATATATATATATATACATGTATATATATATATGTTTATATATATATATATATATATATATATATATATAATATATATATATATATATATATAATATATATATATATATATATATATATATGTATATATATATATATATATATATATATATATATATATATGTATATATATATGTATATATATATATATATATATATATATATACATGTATATATATATGTTTATATATATATATATATATATATATATATATATATATATATATATATATATATACATATATATATATATATATATATTTTATATATATATATATATATATATATATATATATATATATATATATATATATATATATATATATATATATATATATATATATATATATATATATATATATATATATATATATATATATATATATATATATATATATATATATATATATATATATATATATATATATATATATATATATATATATATATATATATATATATTGTCAAGAGGCTATGCTCTTTAAATGCTAAATTTAAAACATAATCTAACCTCATTTGTTACTTCGTCTGCTTTTCTTTGCATACGTTGCAACTCCATTCTCATCTGTTCCTCTTCACTTAACATTTTGATGATTGTGTACTTTTTTTAAGTTTTACTAATATATTTCAAAGGTTGTTTTAAATGAATATTCTGCAATATAATATATTTTATTTTATAAAAATTAGACTCCGAGTTACTTTATAGGAGTTCTATTTTTCTGAATCTGAAGACAGCCGGTTGTTACTTTTAGAAACTATTTATTTTGGATTAGTAGCGTATTTGATTATTATTTTATGGCCGAATAATTTCATTACTGTATCCGGAAAACAACTATATTATTCTAATTTTTCAAACCTCAATGTTTTATACAAGAATGCAGAAAACAATAATGAAATTTTTTATTGGTTTGGTTATCTGTTGAGTTTCCAACTTAAATTAAGTAAAAAAAAAAAGAATTTTTTATGTTTTTTTTTAAATTAAAAATCGAATTCAAAAATAGGTAGCGGCGGCATTTTTAAATTCGAAAAATTTAGATTAGTTTAAATTTAAAAAGTTATTTACAGAAGCTAATATTCGCCTTTTTAAGTTTTAGTTAGCTAATTTTTGAAATTAAAAAAGTAGGCAAAAGTGTAAAGGCACACAAGTTATCATTAGGCAAACACATATTATCTTTTTAACATAGTTACCATATAATCATACTTTACATATATAAGAATCAGTACTGTTTGTTGTATTTTTTTAAAAAATCAGTAATATAATATTATTTTATTCTGTCTAATCATTTTTAATTGATTTTTTAAAGACTTAAAAAGCATTTTCTAATTCTAAGTTAGCTGTGAACAATAGTAATTTATTCTAAAATTCAATTGCCCTTTCAATTTCATTTTACACTAGCAGTGATATAAGTTTGCAAAAACTTATTCTCGTTACTGTTGATACCTGGCTGTGATTAAGACAGCATTGTTGTTCTCATCATCGCATCATCTTGACTTCACAACCATTCACCCACTGTTTAAATGGATCTTTTTTAAAAGCTGTTTTCTCATTTACCTAATTCCAAACTGTCTTAAGCATCGTTGTGGCTCTTTTATTTGAAGCAGTTGTATCCTTCTCTGTTTCTATTACTATAGTATAAACAAATAGGATTGTATTTAGTTAAGAATGACCTTTTTTTAACTAGTTTAATTAGAAAGGTGCTCTAAAAAGATCTAACGGTCTTTTCACAGAGCACTGCGAAATATGAAAATATGTAAACCTGTGGTATAATATGATTATAAAGAGATTATTCTTTTCTATATCCTTTTATCATTGACTCACATTTTAAACTTGATGATTTAGATAGTAATTGACAAAAAAACTTCATAATTTTTTTACAAAGCTCAACTTTTCACATCTTACTTTGCTACTGTTTTTGTTTAAAACTTTTTTAAAGACTTTTTATTGCTAAATCGAAATATTCAATAGAGATTTGGAAATAATAAATCAATATTGAAAATTGAAATAACAGTAGTATAATAATGCTTGATTTCCAAGGCTGTTAACGGTTACCCGAGCACCTGAGTACCCTCCCCTCCCCTCCCCTCGTTAGTTACTGCTTGGGTAGCACCATCAAATGATGGGTAACCGTCATTTGATTAGTTTTTTATGCGGTATTTAAAAGTTATTTTAAAATTCATTTTATTTATTTTAAAAGTTTAAAACCATTAATCGTAATATAACATTTCAACAATATCAATTCGGTATGTGAAAGAAAATCTTAAAGATTTTTTTTTTAAAATTCTTTAACGATAACAACTTCTCTGTCACTACCATAAAAAGAGGTACCATAATTCAACCAAATGCTTGGAAAATTATTTAAGGTTCTGATTCAAATACCAAGTTATGAATTCCAATGATTACTTTTATTATTTCTAATCTTATTATTTTATCATTTCTATGCACAATCTTTTATTTTAAGTAAATCAGAACTTTACCAACTTGTCTATTCATTTTTCTAATGGAAAAAACTGCTACGAAAGATGAAATATATATATATATATATATATATATATATATATATATATATATATATATATATATATATATATATATATCACAATGCGCTTTCTCGGCTGCCGAGAATGTGATCAATGAACGGGCTGCATCTTTTGGCACCAAACACTGATTTCTATGATATTTAATTTCTATAAATTATTAAAGAGATCAGTGGCACCCAAAACAGTGGAAATGCTAGTATTTTTAAACCGTAGTTGGGACTTTACCATAGTGTAACTTGGACACTAATAGAAATTTTTTTTTTAGATATAAGTGAAGAAGAACAGCTCTAAACAAATGACATCATTGAATGAATAGTTTTTTATTAATGTTTATACGAACAACTTTTATAAAAAATATTATTTTTTTAACGTGTACCCACAACTTTTGACAGCCCTATTGATATACCCACGAACTGCTTACATGAAAAAAATTGTAAACTAATAGCTTACAATTTTTACTACTATATACCGCTTAGTGAGTAGATTTCCCACAAATCAAAAACATTGAAATTTTTCACCGAGAACATTAGATATTAGCTGAATTCACCTAAACTGAAATTACTTCAAAAGTGAAAAACTTTAATAGAAATATAAATCCTAAATTAATTTTTACTGAAAATAAATTTAAAATCAAGAGAAGAGTTTTAACATAACAATGGAGGCAGCGGCGTCGCTTGTGGGGTGCAGCCCGCACTTGATGACATCATCAGAGACATGACACAAAAATGAATAAAAAGCAAATATGCTAGAATTTTTTTTTTAAAAAACCTTTTTTTAAAGAAATTTCTCAATATTGAGGACTTTTTATAGTTTTTTAATCTAGAGGAGTGACACCAAAAGTTTTCGCCTCGGATGACACCAATCTCAGCGATGCCACTAATTGGAGGCAATATTATGATAAAATCAAATCTTTATCAAATAGATACAGACTTGTAGTTATGTTATACATAGTTACGACAATTTAATGATAATAATACCACTAGCTTAAAATCTGCGGCGTGTCTACACACCATAAGTTTTTTTAGCTGGCGATATCAACTACCTATCGATTTATAGTTATACTTTTTTTTTTTTTTTAAACATCTTCGCTTTCAACAAGGCTGCAAGCAACCACTAATTAGTGTTGGAAGTTACTGGAAGAGAAAAGATGAAGATTGTAGAGCAAGATACCAAAGGAAGCGATTTCCAAAGAACTGATGTTGGAGGAAAAAAGCTAGACGAATAAGAGTTTTTGGAGCACTTACGAACAGTAACAGAAAAAGGATGAGACTTAATTTAATGACGAGTAATACGAGAATGAATTCTAGTAGATGGCACAAGAGACGCTAGCTCTTTAGAGCAATACCCATTATAGTATTTGTAGAAAAGAGAAAGAGAACCAATATTACGACGATGTGAAAAAGGTTAAAGGTTGGCTGCAAGAGCAGGTCCAACTATGTTTACAATGTGTTTTTCCACCTTGTCTAAAAGAGGAAGGGCATCATTAGGAGATTCGCCCCAGATATGGCAACAGTATTCCATAAAAGGCCGGATTCGAGATTTTTAGAGGTAGAGAATAGAATCCATAGTAAGAAAGCGTCGAGCTCGATAAAGAGATGCAACTTTAGCAGATGCTAATTTTCCAACGGATTTGATATATGGTTTTCAATAAAGATCAGAAGTAAGAGTTAATCCTAGAAGATGAAGAGTAGATGACTCATCGAGTACATTACCGTTCATAAATTTAGAAAGGTCTAAATTATTGCGATAATGATTGGCTGAAAAAAACTGAGCTTTATCTGAATTAAAGTTTACCAGCCACTGTGAGCCCCATGCTGTAGCAGAAGTGAGGTTCTTTTCAAGCTCAAATGCCCCCTCCAAGCAATCATAGGGAGTTGGCTTCTTATTATGACATAAATAAATGGTAGTATCATAAGCTACATATATATGTCTACAGCTACATATCATAGATATGTAGCTGTAGACATATTCTTTGAAAATAAATAAAAACTCGCAACACTTATCTACATATGTACATACATATGTATATAAATACATGCATAACTTCTATATGCAACCATTGACTCAATACAGATTTGTTGTTATGTTGAAGTTAGTTACAATGCTACGATATGTAGTTAACAAAATTTTGTAATGTTGATAGCTTCAAAGAGGGGATATAGATAACGACGTGTCAATTATTATCATAAATATGTTAAATCCAATACTAAAAAATAATTTTTTAGGATATAAAAGACAAATGAAGCTATACAGTGAGAAAAAAAAATTCTCAAAAATTGCTGCAAAGTTAGCTATTCGCTAACTAATTGCAACTTCATGTTTAAAAAACATTTGAAAACCAAATCTAAAATCAAAAAAAACAAACATCCAAAACCAAACTGAGAAGCAGGCAGTACAATCTTTGCTCCTCAGCTTGTTATATGATTATTACCATGAACATGTAAATAACCTTGGAAACAAGTTGGAAGTCTTTAAAAGGAAGTCTTTAAAAGGAAACTTTGAAGATGTTATGGCTGTAATAAAAAATTATTGTAAAACAGATCTTTTTGTTACTTTTTTGTATAACTGATTATAATTTAAAAAAAGTTAAATGGTTTTAATTTTTTTTTATCAATACAAACATACTTTTCTATCTTTTTCTTTTTAGTTGTCGTGTTTTTGTTTAGTTGCTATATTAGTTGGCCAACTGTTGAAACATGATTTTAATATAGTAAATTTGTAAAGATGTGAATTTTACTGATAACCATAAGTTAACAATTATAAACAAACTTAAACTCTAAATAATTGAGTGAAAAATATTTTTATTTACTGGTAACATCAATTTTAATTAAGGAAAGTTTATCCATTCTGTTACTTCTAAGCTCATTTTTTCATACCTTAATTGATTACTTATTCATGATTTATGAATTCCAGTTGTACTTACAGTTATTTAAATAGAATTTGATTTTTTTAAAATAACATCAATAACTAATAACTGGCAAAAGACTAGTCACACTTACTGGTCACACTTTTTAATTGTAATTATCAAAACATAATCTAAACCCAAACAAGTTGCAACATTTGAAATCATCTGATAATATTAATACGCCAATTTAATAGTAGTAATAGTCGACTTATGTCATTTTCTAGGCTTTTCTATTTTAAAGTAGTTTCTAGACTTTTCTATGCTCGGTTGTTTTTTTTTTAAATTTTATTTACTTTTTTTTAATTTTTTTTATTTTTTTATTTTATTATTATTTTTTTTAATTACTAACAACCCGTATTACGGGTTGCTTACTGCTAGTGTTTTTTTTTTGAATGATTTATTTACATAAGTTCATCTTATTATATGGCTTTTACGTAAACCTACTAATTTTTTTACGTATTATTAACGTATAAATAAATTATTTACGAACCATCATATATAAAAATACGTGGGAAAATGTTTTACACCAACATTTGTTTTAAGAATTCATTAAATATAACTCACTCCAGTTTGTTTTTATTGTTTTCAAAATAAAAATAATTTTTCTTGAAAAATTTGAAAATTGCTGGTGTCTAAAAATATAGTTACTATTGTGTAAAGCTAGGGTGTTAAACTAGCTAAATGTGACTTGCAGGTCAGGTCAGGCTCCGTGACCCAGGTCAAGTCAGGTCAGATTCAGGATCATCACAATAACCTTACTACTTGTATCATGTAACCCAGTACTACCTAACTCATGTCTTGCCGTCTTGTAGGATTTATTTTTTTTGGCAAAGGCTAGGAGAAACAAACTCCGACTTAAAAATCCTCTGCCTTGAGGCATTTGGTTGAGTTAAGGCTAAAGATGGTGTCTCAATAAAAATACTTATTTTAGGTAGATGTTAATTGCATCGAGCTAAAATTCCCCTGCATTGGGGCTTTTGGTTAATTAAAGACTAGAAATGACGTTTCAAAAAAAGTACTTATCTTGGGCAGATGTCTACTGCATCCAGCAGTTAACATCAAAGAGGCCTCCTATGCAAAGACTTTAGGGGTAAGCAGAATAACTCTGCTAACCAGCCTTGAACCCCTTTTCATCTATTAGGTTGGCATAGATGTAAACCTGTGTTAAATTGTTTCATGCCTAAGATAATGAATGCTGAATTTTCTTTACTCTAATCTTAAATTTTTGCTTGTGCCTCCTTGATAGTGGCTATGCAACTTTTCCTGTTTTCTGCTAATGAAGATAAATCTCTCAATCTCAGTTTAATTGATCTAAGTCCGGCTGACAGTGTGGTTTCCCAAACTCTGTTGTAGCTCTCAGAGACAGTGGCGGATTATCAAATTATGGGCCTATAGGCTTAACTAATTCATGGGCCCTATATACCTATATTTTTCTAAAAAATACGTCAAAAAGTACAATTTTAATTTTATTTATAATAATAATATCTATAATAAAATCTAATTTTATTTTTAAAATTACAAACAAATTATCAGGTATATTAGATACTAGTATATATTTTATAAATGGCTGACCCAAAGAAAAAACCAACACGATCAAAAATTCATTTTTCTGCATTTTCGTTCAACAAAGTCTGATAAAATTTCATTGAAGTCACAGCTTCTTAGGATGTCAGATTCAGTACACATAACAGTAAAGGAATTCAGTTTGTCATCACCCAAAGCACTTCGCAGATAGTTTTTTATCCGTTTCAATGCAGAGAATGATCTTTCATCACTGCAGTTGGTGATCATCAAACTGAGGTATATGTGAAGTGCTGTGGCAACATTTGGAAATATATCTTGTAGTGCACTGCTGTTTCTCAAAGCCCGATACATATACAGCTCTATGCTACATTTCAGTTCTTTCTCATTCTGTTGCAAGTACGTATCAGCTAACAAATATTCTTTGAAGTGAAGTATTTCATCTTCAAATGACTCTTCCAAATCATCTACATAAGTATCTATCAAGTTTCTACTGGCTCTTCGCAAATCAGACTGTTCCAGTGATCGAATGTTTCTCAGAAAACCAAACTTATCACATACACCACTGTATGCCTCTGATCGTTTACATAATGCTGAATTCAAGTGATCAAGTACTGGCAAGAAAACCATGACTCGAAATTTCTGCTGTGCCGAAAACACTGTTTCATCAGCTGATCCATCATGACGGGTTAATTGAACACTTCGCTTTCGTTTCCTCTGATTCTCTTCTTTATAAGAAGTTGACCCTGTTATTTCCTTTCCTTTCTTCTCAAAGAAATCAAACTGTGCTCGAAGTGAATTTACATATTCTTTTAGTGAAGTTAACAGTTGAACAGCCTCATTTAGATCAAGTTGTGGACTTTGCAGTTTTAAACTGGTCTTATGAAAGCGATCTAATATGGGTGTCCAGAGTTCTAATAAAATACCATATTCTAACTGATCCATCTTCTTTGCAATTCCTGCAGCTGTAGTGCGAGCTTCAACCTTCTCCTCGCGGGTCCTCAGCAATGTTCTCTAACACTGTCTTAACATTTTTAAAGCCTTTGCTCAATGCTTTAGTTGCTGCAGAATGTGCTGACCATCGAGTATCAGAAAGGCGTTTTAGAACTAACTGGTTACTATCCAATCCTTTGGTTAGAAGCTCCCACCGTTGGGTTGATGCATTTAAAAAGACATACAAGTTTTGTACAAAATCAAAAAATCCACTCACTGTTGTCACGCAGTTTACAGCTGATGCACCGACTAAATTAAGGGAGTGTGCAAAACATGGCACATATTCAGCCAATGGGTTTTTCTCTCGAATGCGTGTCTGTAGCCCTGAATATTTTCCTGCCATGTTGCTAGCATTATCGTAGGACTGACCTCGGCAATATTTTATATCCAACTTTGCTTCTTCCAGAAAGCTGTATAAACTGTTAAACAAATCTTCTGCCCCATGTCCTTTCATGCTTAAAAATTGCACAAACCTTTCTATAGGGCCATCGTTCAAAACATATCGAAAGACACATGACAGCCTATCAACATGAGATATGTCTGGAGTAGAGTCAACAGAAATCGAATAAAATTTTGCTCCACGTATTTCAGACAATATTGTTTTCATAACTTGCTTTCCCATGACATCAATTAACTCATCACAAATTGTTGATGACAGGTATGAAACAGAGCCTTTCCCCATACCACCATGGTTGTCAATATGACTGGAGAGGAATGGATCAAACTGAGCAATCAACCCCAAAATTCCCAAAAAATTGCCATTAGAACTTGACCCCAATATTTCAGTATGTCCTCTAAATGCGAGCCCTCTTTCAGCAAGGAATTTGATAACTGAGACAACTCTTTCTAGCACAGATTTTGCATATGCACATTCCTGTCTGTATTGCTCAACTATTGCTGAATCTACACATCCTCTGACTTGTACTCTTTGGCTGAATGTGATTGTTGCATTTCTATGTGCAATGCTGTTTTCATGTGACTGTATTCGTGAAGCTGCATTTTTCCAATCACAAAAACCATTCCTTGAGAATGAATTATCATCAGCAGAAAATAATTGCCATTATGACATGAAATCGAAAAACATACAATGTAGATACTGCATTATTATATATTTATATATAACGGTATAACTAAAATATTACGGTATAATAGGCTCAACATTTAAGTGGATTCAAAGCTATTTGTCTAACAGAAAGCAATTTGTATTACTAGAAAAGTCAGGAGCCTCGATATTACGTGTGGAGTTCCTCAGGGTTCAATCCTAGGTCCATTATTGTTCTTAATTTATATTAACGATATGCATAAAGCATCCCAAAAAATATCTACAATTATGTATGCTGTCAGTAGTGTCAATTTGTTCAAGAATACCATTCTCAGCATAACTGGGCTACAAAATTGATTTTTTAGTTTAAAAATAACATTTGGTTCTGATAAAGCAAAATTTTGACTAAGACAGAGTAAAAACATTTGGGCAGCATAACTGGGCTACAAAATTGATTTTTTAGTTTAAAAATAACATTTGGTTCTGATAAAGCAAAATTTTGACAAAGACAGAGTAAAAAACAAACATTTGGGCAGCATAACTGGGCTACAAAATTGATTTTTTAGTTTAAAAATAACATTTGGTTCTAATAAAGCAAATTTTTGACTAAGACAAAGTAATCAACAATCATTTGGGCAGCATAACTGGGCTACAAAATTGATTTTTTTGTTTAAAAATAACATTTGGTTCTGATACATTCGTTTATCCATGATACATACCTATATCGATATTTGCTGTAAAAAAAATTTGCAATCATCTTCCGAACCGGGCCCCTATGGCTGACGGGCCCCTAGGCTTCAGCCTACTCAGCCTAATGGATAATCCGCCACTGCTCAGAGAGGCTTATTCTATCAACAACTGTAAAATATCAGAGTATTAATAGTGCCATGTTGCGCATGGATGGTGTCCTTTTTAATGCTTTTGGTGCGCATTTTAAAGGCCACATAAGGAACCCTATGTTACAACTTAGGGTTAATTAACAGGACTGAGACAATTGTATAGCTAATTACTTAGGAGGCCGTGTTCCATCTATAAATAAATCAAGTTCTCTTTAAACTTAATTCGTGCTAAAAGTAACCCAAAATGTTAAACATAAAAAGCCATCCTTACCATCAAACTGTTTTAATATATCTTTTAATATATATTTAATATGATAATATATCTTACAAATATTCATGGTCTGTGAAGCAAACTTTCATCAGTTAAATCTTACCACTTGCAAAAATCACCTGACTTGCTGGCTCTTAGTGAGACTAATTTAAACCCTGCTATTCCTTCTTCAGATCTCAGTGTTGAAGGGTACTATCCTTTAATTTGTGAAGAGTCCAAAAGTCACATACTTGCCTTTGAGGCATATATATGCATCAATTCACCAATTTGTCGTAAAATCATATTTAAATCCTAGGACCATTCTTTTATGTGCATCCGCTTCTACACGTTTTCACTCTATTACCTTTCTCTTAGCTCTTTATTGTTCAACTTCTTCCCAAGACTGCACTCTTTTAAATATAAATTCTGATCAAATTGACTATGCTCTCTTTCTTTACCCCTCTGCCAATATAGTTGTTATGGTGACTTTAACGTTTATCACATTGAATGGTTTTAGCTCTAACGCCACTGACCCTGCTGGAAAAAAAAGCCTATAACAGCTGCATTTCTCAGTCTCTTACTCAGTAGCTAACTTTATGATTCGTTTTCTTTATGATGGTTCTGACCATGCAACGATCTCTTTAAATCTTTCATCACATATTTCTTCTTTGGACTTTCTATTACCTTGAAGTTGGCTGGGATTCTATCTTTAATTTTCTTTGTGACGGTCCTTGGTCTTATGTCTTTTCTCTCTCCCCTGATAAATGCTTCTTCTATGTAACCTCCTGGATTCTATGTAACTTCTATGTAACCTCCTGGATTCAGGCAGGAATTAAAGCTTTTATTCCTTCTTGTCGGTTCCAAGTCAATTCTCATTCTACCCCATTGTTTTCACCTTCTTGTACAGCTGCTATACCTAATCATAATAAATTTTTTCATCTTTTTTTAAAGAAAAACTTTCTTGAGAACAAACGGCTGTTTATTATTGCAAGAAATCAATGTAAAAAGGTGCTGTCTGAATCTTAGTTCACTAAATTTCGTACCTTATCTCTTATCTCTAATTATCTTATCTCAGAAGATAGACTCTAGAGACTTTTGGAAAATCCTTCAACATTAACAAGGGTAGTTCTACATTCCATCACTCATTCATGGATAAGACTAAGGCAGAACTAATTGCGTAAACCCGCTCTATATGCTATGCTTAAGCCTCTTTCCTACCGTCTTAAAGTTGCATCTCTTTCTCTTTTCTACAAATGCTGTCATAGTCGCTGTTCAAAGGAACTATCATCTCTAGTTCCATCAACTAAAACTCATTCTTGCTTGACTTGTCATTCTCTGAAAACTTTTATTTGCCTAGCTTTTTTTCCCACTTCAATCCTTTGGAACACTCTTCCGTCTTCATATTTTCCTGACTCATACAACCTACAAACTTTCAAGTCTTCTTTCAACCGTTCTTTTGCGACAATACCGTAGATTTTCCGAACAAAATCGTACTTAAAGTTGAATAAGTTCGCTTGCTTTTTGAATTTCAAATTATTTTTTTTAAATAAATAAACTGAAACCAAAACTGAATCGATCCATATTAAGCAACAAGTATATTTATTATAAAAACTTAATTTTTAAATTTAAAATGTTAAATTTTCGTTCGGAATTAGGAACTCGTGTTCCTAATTCCAAACGTGCGTATCAAATACCAAAAAATAGCATTCAATTTAAAAAAGTAAATAATTTATACTAGCGTAAACCTCTAGCTTAGAGTTAAAAAAAGAAGCTTAGAGTAAAAAGATTTTTAAAATTTAAAATTACTTTTATTTTAATGCAAGGGTACAACATTGTGTTGGTACAGAGTGTGCATTATCTATTTAATAGATAATGTCTTACTTTTTTTTTTGTAATTAGTTGAAAAAACCTTCACAGTCACTGCCTGTTTATGTCAGTTAACCGTTGTTAACCAGAAAAAATCTCAGTTATTAGTATCAGGTTAGTTGCAGCCTTAACGAATGCTCCCCCATTAATCAAATAGGTTGTAGTGCTTTTTTATCATATAGCAATGCAGTTTAATCCTTTACGCTGTAGTATTGTTAAATGGCAGTAATTCAAAGACCAAAACATTGTTCAGTAACCCCCTTAACTTTTCTCACTTGAAATTTTTTTTTTTTTTAACCTTCCATTATTACAACCACGCCATCCTTCTTCGCCATTAAATAGTATCGCAATTAGTTTTTATTAAATAGTATCGCAGCAATATATATGTATTTGTCTATTATATGTAAATTATCAAATCTGTACAGTACAGCTACGGTTGCAAATGAATCTCCAAATGAATACTAATACATTTGGAGGTGGCAACCCTAGCTGTACTGCATAGACTTGATCATTTTTAAAAAACTATGTTGAAAAAGTTGTTGTATTCAAAAAATATTGTTTTAAAACGTCAAGCTACAAAAATTAAATCAAATAAAAGCTATTCACACTCCTTGTACACGAATTCAATTGTTTCGCGATAATTGATAATACAAGGAATACACAACCAGTTAGAAAACTTTTCACATTCAACCCATTTGCTGCTTGTAGCTTCGTCCCAAAGGCTTCCGCAGGAAATAAAAAGACGATTGATATGTTAGGGATTACAGCTGGTGGCAGGAAAACATTCAATATTTTGACTAGTAAGCATCTTTGTTGTTTTGTTATATTTCTGAGACCGTTTTCGGGTTTCTTTAACTTTTAAAAGCTTTTTTTCTTCTTTTTTTTTAAACTTTTATTCTTTGAGAATTGTTGAGTCCAATTTTTTTTTCTATAATAATTTTTCTGACTACTTTTTGATTTAGTTTTTTTTTAACAACTTGTGTTGCTTCGTTTTGAGCCACTGCACATAGTTCAGTCATGTTATAACTTCTTGTTCTTTTAATTATTGTTCCCTTTTCTTTACTACCAGAAAGAGGCTTTAATCTATCTCTAAGCACACTGAGCACTGATTTATTAATATCAAAAGATGCTTGTTTAACGGCATTTTTGATGCTATCTAATTCTTTGAGCAATATTTCTTTTTTTGAAAGTCTATTCATAGTGTTTTTTGAATATATTTTATTCTTTTTTTCAAATGAAACTTATGAAAAACAAAAATGAAACTTTGTAGAAAAACAATTCTCAATTTTGTCATTTGTTACATCTTGAAAAATAGCGCCGATTGCAGTTTTATTTGGAGTTATTTTTGATCAATTGAGTGGAAATATGCCTGTATTTTCAAAACCACTAAGTGCATTTTCCGCTCTAAAGCATTTATTAGCAATAAGGTCTTTTAGAATGGCTGGAAACTGCCGGTTACTTAAACTTAAATAAGAATTTCTAACCAAGTAAACTTCTACAATTCGCTTCCATTCCGCCTTTACTGTTTTAAAAACTCCAAGATCTAGTGGTTGAAAAAAATGACTTATGTGAGCTGGCAATAAAGTTATGTTGTTTGATTCATCTTTTAATTCAAAATCAATGTGAGATGCATGGCCGTCTAAAAATAGAATTTTAAATCATTTTGACATTTTTTTATTAACATACATTAAAGGGCCATCCATAAAGTACGTATGCAGGTATGGGGAAGAGGGTTTCCCAAAAGTGAACGAACGCGTACAAGGCACAATGGGGCCTAACAAAGGAAAAAATGGCCAAAAATCTAAAAATCAAGTTTTAAATTTTTGAAAATTTTAAATGCTAATTTTAAATCTTATTTGTAGCTTCATCTGAAACAGATTAGTTTGTACTTAAAAAAAGTTGGATGTTGAGTAACCATTAGACTTAAACTCAAACTGACCGAAATTTGTGTTAAAATTCCTATTTTGAGTTTATTACATTTACTTTGTGACTGCTGTTTTAAGAATATTAAATTATATCTATGTAAAGATAATGATTAAGTCTATCAATATACGCAATAAAATTAATTTAATTTAGTTTATTTCCAATAAAAATATATATATTTATAGCGCTTTTAGTTTGTTTATAACTTAAAAGCTAGAGTTATAATTTTGCTGTTGATGGCCGGTGGAAGTCTAACTTGCAATAAATACTTGAAACTTAGTTCAATCAAGTTTGATAAAAACTTAGTCTGTCTTGTACTGTTTGATTCATTGTTTTTTCGTTTAAAAAACTTTTTTTTGTCTTTTTTTTAAAAAAATCTAAAAATAAAGACAGATGGCATTTCTATCAGTATACTGATAGAAATGCCATTTCTATCAGTATACTGATAGAAATGCCATCTGCAGTAACCAATAATTACTTTATTGGTTACTGCAATAATTATATAAAATTATATAACCAATAATTACTTTGTAAGGATTATTGGTTACTGCAGTAACACATAATCCTTACGCAATTCAAAAGCATTGTTCAAAGATAAATAAACCGTGAAATGTGTAAAAACATTTAAAAATGATTATTAAGTATAGTGAAATTGTTGCAATTATAAATCAAAACGATAAACATTATCTAGCGATTGAAAAATGCTTGTTGCGTTGTGAAGAAAAACTTAAAAGAGACCTAAAGGAAGAAGAAAAACAAGTTATAACACAGAAAATAAAAAATATAAAAAAGCGATACAATGAACTTTGGAGAAAGCAAGGTTGTTCTTCTGCAAGATTCATGAAATACCCTGGAAGTTGGCTTTTAAACTGAATACGAGCTTCCAATAGAGCTTAAATGTGACCCTCAGCCGTCTAGTTCTGAAAAAAACGAAAAGAGGAAGACCAACTATGCCGTTTTTGGAAATGTCTGCCAGATCCAAACGCCGAGTTATTGCTAAATGTACCTTAGAGTTGCTGCAACCGTCGCTGCACAAAATGATAAAAAAGACTTATCTCATTTAATCAAACAAGTTATTCAAAGTCAAAATTTGGCTGCTGTATTGAATAAGATTAGTTGTGAAGTTGTGAGAATGCCACCGGAACAAGCATTATCGTTTCTTTTTGATACGAATTTGTCCAAAGATCAGTATAATCAAGTAAGATTTGCAGCTAAAACTCAAGGTGGCTATATTTTTCCTCCTTATAAGTTGGTTTCAGCTAAAAAATCTCAATGTTGTCCAAGTAAAATATTGCAAACAGAAAATTGCATTGAAGTAGAATGGAAGCATTTATTAAAACATACTCTAGAAAGAATTAGTAAATTGCAGCATGAACTTATTGAGAAAGAAATTCTAGAAATTAATGTTGTTCAATGCAAATTTATAGTTTCTTATGGCTTTGATGGTAGCACGCAACAAGCAAGGTTCAATAAAGATCTAAGTGAAAATTTTAGTGATAGTTCATTATTTGTGACATCTATGATTTCTTTAAGTCTACTAGATTTTGCCGTCCACAGAGAATTGAATTTGCAAAGGAAAGTAAAGAATACGTAGTTCGATTAAAGGAGAAATATGATAAAGAAATTGCTGAACTCGAAGAGGTTGTGATTATTTTAAAGTCTGAAAAGAAACTATTGGTTGAATGTAATCTGTGTTTGACGTTAATAGATGGAAAGATTCTAGCATTTATTACAAAAACATCGGCGCTAATTTACATCTCTACCCCCCCTATTTTTATTATTGATTATGATAGAGAATTTCATCCTGATTAAGAATCGTTTAAAAACATAGATCTGAAAATTAACAGAAAGTGCTCTAATCCGATTTTGAAGTTTAAAAAATTACACTAAAAAACGCTAATATTCGCCATTTTTTCATACTCCATTATAATTAAAATCCTTTTATAAGATGACTTTAAAAAAGCCTGGTTTCTATCAACAATTTAAAGCAAAACTGTTAAAAAATGCGTACCTTATCATTTTCTTATTGATTTCTGGCCCAAACCCTAACCCTGTCCCAAATCATGTACCTTTAATTGCACCAATCCCTATTTGTCAGTCGATGTATGTACATTCAATTACGCCAATCCCTATTTTTCAGTTGATACATGTACATTTAATTGCGCCAATCCATTTGTCAGTCGATTTATGCACTTTTAAAAAGCAATATCTTAAATTAATTTTTGAAAATTTAATAAAAAACATATTCATAAAAAATTTATTTAAATTTAAATATAATTTAATTTTGGCAACAATAAAAACCGGGTTGCATAATTAAAAAAAGATTTTCTAAACGTTTTTAAAAAATGGCGAATATTAGCGTTTTTTAGTGTAATTTTTTAAACTTCAAAATCGAATTAGAGCACTTTCTGTTAATTTTCAGATCTATGTTTTTAAACGATTCTTAATCAGAATGAAATTCTCTATCATAATCAAAAATAAAAATAGGGGGGTAGAGATGTAAATTAGCGCCAAAAACATCTTCATTTCAAAAACTTAACATTCATATAGACATGCCAAAATCAAGCGGTGGCAATAGTAATATAGGAAGCGTTGCAAAAAGAGCATTCGATGATCCGAAGCTTGTCTGAAATTTTAGACATCGACTTGGAGCTTATTCAAAGATTAAGAATACTTTTGTTGTGTATTTCTTATCGATTTCCAATTGACCCAGTCAAATTTAATGATTATTGCTTCTCAACAGCATCTCGGTATGTTAAATTATATAAAAAATTTCCTATGACTCCCACATTACATAAACTTTTGGTACATGGCTCACAAATCATATCAAATTCAATTGTCCCTGTTGGCATGTTATCTGAAGAAGCTTCAGACAGTAAAAATAAAATTTTTAGATCAGAAAGAATCAATCATGCTCGAAAAGATAGTCGCCAACACAACCTCTTTGATGTGTTCACACGTGCAATGGAGACTTCAGATCCAATTCTTTCATGTTCAAGATTACAACAAAGAATTCAAAAGTACAAGAAACATAAGATACCTTCCTAAGTAAGAGAACTATTAATCTTAAATACAAATATTAATAATGAAAACTGTGATGATGATTCTAACAGTGAAAATGATATAGATGATTTTGAAAACAGTCACATGTATGAAACAAATGTAGATTCTGAAATATATCAATAAAATGATGTTATGATTTTTTATAATAAAAATAGCAGACGTGGCGCAGTGGTTATAGTGTTGAACTCTTTACCCAAGGGGTTGCAAGTTCGAATCGAGTATCAATTAAATTGAACAAAATATTTCGTACAATAACTTTTCTCTATTATTTGCTTGCAACATAGATGGAAGCCTGAGTTTTTATCTTTTTTATAAAAAACTTATTCATATTTTCATATAATATTTTACAATTTATTTTTTAAATTTGGAAAAAGTTGTGTGTGTGTGTGGGGGGGGGGGCACTCTCTTTCACTCCTCACGACTCCCCGCTGTTACCGCGATCCCTTTTATAAATACGTATGTTTTACTTTTTTTTTCCACAAGTTTTTTTTATAAGCTATAAATGTATACTTAAATAATAAAGTAAAAAGTAAAAAAAATCACTGAATGTCAATTTATTGCTAAAAAAATTCTTATCAGACTCTATTTCGAAAGAAATGGTCAAAATTTTTTCAAAAAACATTTAATTATTTTTTCATTCAATTTAGAATACTATTTTTTATAATTGTGCAAAATTTCAAATGGATTGGCAGATTTTTCGATTTTTGGCCATTTTTCCTTTGTTGTCTTTGTGCAAGGGGGGAAGGGGGTGTTAAAGACAGTGAGTACGTATGCGGATTGAATACCTCTCCTAAAATTGATTTTTTTTTTTAAACACTGAATTTCACAAGTGTAACAAATCAGAATTGTGTTTTTTTTCTGACTTCAGTCACAATTTTTTTTTCATTTCTTTATAAATAATGAGGAGAGAAAAAAGAAATCGAGTTAATTTTGTAAAAATAATAATGCATACGCACTAAGAAGAGGGGGAGGGGGTTCGAAAGCGTACATGTTTGTACAAAGGGGAAAGGGGGTCCTAAATAAGTGGGTTTACTGCGTACCTATTTTATGGATGCCCCTAAGATAAACAAGACGTTTAGAAATTCAATTAAAAAGTTAAAAGCGTTTATTAGTTTCTAAGTTAATGTCGTTAAAATACTATTGTTAAATAATGTTGTTAATTACTTGCACGTAAAAACGCCAACTTTTGCCCAAAAAAATGCATTCCAAAATCTATTCGAAATTCGGGAAACGTTTTAATTAGCAGGTGTCCATAAAGTACGTACGCTTTTTTTTCGTCGACTCTTCCCCCCCCCCCCCCCCCCCCCCGCATTTTGCAATACGCTTTTTTGAGTACCCTCCATTTCCCTTAAAGTATCTACGCTTTTAACATATTTATCTAACATTTTATGATATTTTTTTAAATTTAGTGTCTCCTTTCTTTTATAACTGACCTACTGCCCTCCCATCTTATATACGCCATTTGCAAACCCCCTCTTCCCCTCCGAGCGTACCTACTTTATGGAGAATTAGAGAAGTATTGCTTTAAAAATATCTTACAAAGTATTGCTAATTTTTGACTTTTTTTTGACTTTGTTATGTAAAACCATAGTCAATAGAAGTTATAACTTCTATAATATATATTATATTTATATTATAACTTATATATTAACAGGTATAACTTCTATTGACTATGGTAAAAGCAAGCAAAATTAAAAAAATTATTTACAGATAAATTTGTATTTTATTAAATTTTTTAGATAATTTATCAAGTTGAATTATTTTTACTGATTTCTATACTAATAACCCTGTTTTTATTAAATCAAAAATAAAATTATGGTTGTTATCTCAAACAATAAAGATGTTAAAATGAATTATAAAGTAGCTAGACGTAATTTTACAAAACAAAATCAAGGCTGCAGTACAAAACTTTGAACACTATATAGGAAAAAATGCCAAAACAAACTCAAAACACTTGTAAAGATATATTAAATTCAAGCAACAAATAAAAAACTTCATTAAAGCCATCATAATACAAGAAAAATATAATAACAGAACCAAAACGTATTATAGAACACATTATTCAATATTTTCTATTCGTTGTTGTTCAAAATGTTGAAAATAAGCTGCTATCAAGATTTAAAGATCGAATATAAATTCAAAAAATATATTTACAATATATTTTGATAAGTCTAATGTTTTAAACAAACTATTCAACTTAAATACAACAAAGTCAATGGGTCCGGATTGTGTACATTCTTTTGCTTTAAAGTTGTGTGCTGATGAACTTGTGTTGCTAATATTTTTATTATTTAGTAAATCAATAGATAAAGCAGAGGTACCTAAGGCATGGAAACTTGCAAGAATTTCCCCGTTGTTTTGAAAAGAGCAGTTGTTTAAAAGCATCTAATTAACGTCCGGTTTCTTTAATTTTTAACGATTTTTTGTAAGACTATTGAAAAATAATCAGTGAGCAAATAGTGAACCATATAATTAAAAATGATTTATTAATATATGAAAAACATGGTTTTGTTAAAAGAAGAAGCTGCACCACAAACTTGTTGGAATATATGAATATTGTCACATCTTTAATTGCAAATGGAAAACAAAGTGATATTTTATACATCAATAATAGTAAAGCTTTTGGTATTGTTAAACATAAAAGATTACTACTAAAGTCATTGGCTAATGGTATAAAATTGAGTTTGTTAAATCGCAACAGAGCTTTCTTATATAATAGAAGTCAAAGAGTATAAATGGTGATGTTAATTTTTTATGGTTAGAAGTCACAAGTGATGTCCAAGAAATGATACTGACATAATAGAAGAATAGTCAAAAAAATGGAAGATAAAATTTAGATAAATGCTAGGTTATGTACATTGGCTATTTAAATCCTAAACATTTATATACTTTTTAGTAATGTGATTATAAACAAATTGTTAGCACTACTGAATTGGAAAAAAATTTAGAATCAACTTAGTTATACCTAATGATTAGTATCAATTTCACGAGATTTAAAATGGAAAGCTCAAATTATATCAGCAGTAGCCAAAGCAAATAGTAGACTGTTCCTATTGTCAAAAATATTTAAATACAAAACCAAATGATCTTTCAGACATTTGTACATAAGCATGTCAGACCGTACCTTAAGTAAGCATGTCAGATCATACCTTGAGTATGCAATTCAAATTTGGTCACCTCATATGGAGAAAGATATAAATATTCTTGAAAACATACAAAGGCGAGTGACAAAATTGATATCGGAAATACAGTATCTTTCATATGTTATTCATATGTTTATGCTTGTTAAATTAAACAACTTTATCAAAAAGAAGAAAAAAAGAAGGTTAAATACAATTTTTTAAAAGCTTCAAAAATATAGAAAAAATGGAATAACAAGTTCATAATAAAATGTGAAAATGGAATGACAAGTTCATCACACAATTACTGATACCTGTTTCAAAAATGATCTTCGTGAAAATTTCTTTATAAATCGAGTGTTAAAATTATGATATAAACTGCCTACTCCAGTTATTGTTCGCAGTCCGTTAATGGTTTCAATGCAAAAATAGACCTGAAATAAAACCTATTATTGAGTCTACTATAGGGTTGACTTGGTGTTGACCCTCAACACAAAAATATATTATTATTATCATTATTAATATTATTGTTATCATTGCTATTATTATTATTATTATTGTTATTATTACTAACCGAGCATGCAATTCTTTAATTTACGCGCAAATAATTGTCTCTTTTAAAGAAGTTTGCTTTACATTTAGAGTGTTTATTTATTTAACTAAAGCCTTTGGTTTTATTAATCATTAAAAAAAACTAATGTTATATTTTTTAAAGATAAAACTTTGTTACTCTTCAACGTTATTTCACTAAGCGTTTATTTACAATAAAAATTCTATATCAAATCTATTAATGAGTACAACATGTGGTGTTCCACATGTTGTACTTATTAATATTATCTATTATTATTCCACTCTTAGTTCCCTAGACCTCAAATAGGACTGTTGATTGTCTAGTTGACATTATATCTGTATTTCTTGCTGCCTTGTGTTTTTTTAATGAACATGTTACATCTGACTAATGATTAAACTCAATTATAACTTTTTTTCTGTGAACCTTTACATCATTTTTTCTGACTTAATAGTAATATTCTGATTTTAGTTTAGGAATCAGCAGGATAAAATAAACGATGAACGCATGATCTTATCTTGGGGGGTTTATAATAATTGACGTTTGTAATTAAACGTTTACAAAATAAAGAACAAAATCATATTTTTTATATTGTAATATTATTTTCGCATCTGCGCTTTGAAAATTGTGCTGTTGGCACTGTCATTAGCGTAAAATGTTTTGTAAATAGCGGTTTAACAATTTGTGTAAACATGCCTAAACATATCTAATTTTTTAGAAAATGCCGCCAAAAAAATTTGGTTAAAAGTGAAAAATTATTTATCTTGGTAACAAACTTTTATAGCTTTCTTTTTTTTTTCTTTCTATATAATATAAAAAAGTTTTTAAATTATTTACAAATATAACTTTTCATATCTCAAATTACAACAAACTTTTTATCAACGGAAGAAATATCGGTCAGGTTATCAGTCAAAACGTTTTAATACAAAACTTCAGAACCAATGTCTTCACGACCTTTAAACTCCGTGTGAGTTATAGACCAAACAGGATTTGTATGACAAGGTTTTGGTTCAAATTTAACGTGTGGGTAGAACCATCTCCAATCAAACTCTTTACTATATTTACACACTGTGTCAAACGGAGGTATACTTATTTTGTTATTTATATTCAACCTAACTTTATCAATGCTTTTACTTAAAATCCAGTACTTAAGCATTTGTGATGGATAAGCCCCATGCAATGCTAAATAATATTGGCAAATATTTGGTGTCATATATTTATCTTCAATAAAGGCAGTTGCCGCATGTATTACACGATCGTTGTCCATAAAATATGTAATGTTTATTTTACTATCTCTGATCCACATAGCCACTGCTTGATCCCCAAATGGATGACATTGTAACGTGGTATTTAACTTAGAAAGAGCTTCGTCTATAATATCTCGAGATAACAACATCCACCCTTCATCAACTCTAACAACGTGGTCACGACAATGTATATACCCCCAATATAGACCTCTTTTTGGTCGGCTAGGCAGTTCAAGTAAAAGACTTTCAAGACATAAAAAGTAGTCGTCATCTATACGTAGGAAATAGTTAAAACTGTATTCACTAAACCAATTAAGCATCCAAACTAATCGTAAGCCAAAATTATGTCCTCCTAAAATAAAGTTTTAACGTGTATATATATATATATATATATATATATATATATATATATATATATATATATATATATATATATATATATATATATATATATATATATATATGTATATATAACACACAAACACACACACATATGTACTATTTTTTTATATTATTACATCAGCTCATTTTACTCTTTATTTCCGTTGTATATTGAGCACCTATTTTATATAGTATAGTCCAAAAAACTTTTACAATCTATTTTTAACAAAATTTGCTTAAGATTAATTGGCTTAATTATTGAAATTTTCACAATGTTTTAACTTTTTAAACACCACAACTCTAGGGCGTACTATATTCAAAATAGTTTTATTTGTAGACTTTAACTCCGAATATGTCCATCACGTCCGCACACATTTATTACAAGACGCAATGATATAATAGGCCGGGTGAATAATATTTGAGCAATTGCATTTACTCAGTATTTGGTCAGCTTTACGTGAATAAAATTTTTAGGAGTTTTGCTCTAATTTTTATTTATGTAAAGTTAAGCAATTTACTCAGTAATTGTTCAGCTTACGTGAACAAAAACTTAGACAAAATAGGTAATTTTATTCACGTAAAGCTGACCAAATACTGAGTAAAAGCAATTGTTCATTTTTATTCACACGGCTTATTATATAATATATCATTGACAAGACGACGTCCGCAAACTCAAACATTGAGTCTATATATGCACACTCACTGCATCTTTTAACTAATCAGTCAAGGTGTGTACCTTAGAATCCGCACATCCCAGTTTATCGATCCCATTATATCATATTTTTTAGAGTTTAAAAAAAGTTTTTTGTTTATATTTTACTTGTTTTACAAATCAATTAGTAAAAGTTCAATAATAGAACAACTTTTTTTTTTGAACGTTATGTTTTGCCGTTGAAGAAATTTTACAACCTACATATATTTACAAATAAAATTAATGGCGGAGCAAGAAGAAGACATTATTTTTGTCTTATTACTGAGCACCGTGTTACAATATATATTCTTTACAAAGTTTTTTCCAAGAGTATAGAATATAAGCTAAGAAATAAGAAAAATGTTTAGAAAAATATTAACATTTAAAACGGTAGCAGGAAAAAATCCCCTGGGAAAAAATCCCCCCGAAATAATTGCCCGAAAAAAAATCCTGGAAAATATCCCCCCCCCCCCCATAAAAAAAATTAGTTTTTTTTTACATAAAAATTATCAATAAAGTAGTTATATTTATTTATTTTAAATAGTTTTATAAAATACTTCATTTTTCATCAAAATGTAAAGTTATGCGCTATTCCTCGGTTGTCGGTAAAAATAATAATAAAAAAACTCTCCAATTCCTAATATTTTATTTTAAAGCTTTATTTAAAATAAAATTTTTATTTTTTAACTGTAAAACATGCGCGGAGTGTTGGTACATCGACTATCTTATAGCCTGACTCGCAACATAGTGCTGCTTCATCGACTGACAAATAGCCTGATTCGCAACGGAGTGCTGCTACATTGACTGACAAATAGCTTGACTCACAACGGAGTGCTACTACATCGACTGAGAGTTTGGGTTGGGCAGGCAGTCAATCAAATAATCTAAAAAAAAATATTGTTTTTCATATTGTTTTCGTTTAGTTTCACTTAATTTCCTTTTATTTTTTTTTAAATAATATTTTCGCTTAAAAGTCCCTAAAATATACTGCTAAATTAACAACGATGGTTCGCAAAAAAGTTCACATTTTACCAGTTCGCAGTTCGTAAGTGTTAGGGTTAGGGTTTCACATTCGCTACCTTAGAGAGAATAGCGCATAACTTGACATTTTTATAAAAAATGAAGTATTTTATATAAATATTTAAAATAAATAAAGAAATAAACATAACTGCATATTGATAATTTTTATGTTAAAATTTTTTTTTTTGGAGGGATATTTTCCGGGGGGATTTTTTCTTGGAGGGATTTTTTCCCGGGGAATTTTTTCCTAGAATTCCTTAAAAAAATTAGTTTTTAATTTTTTTCCTTTAAAACTACATCGTCTTAATTAAAAGTAATACCATAAATAAATTAGATAAAACAAAAACCAAACAAAAAAACAATTAAAAAAAAAAAAAATACTGCTAACGATAATGATTAATGCCAGTTATTATTTAATTTATTTTTGAACTTACAGGGCAATTAAATTTAAGATTAACTTAAATTAATTACATAGTTTTATAATTGATTTTCAGTGTTTTAAAAAAGAAGATAAATCAACATCTGTGTGTGATAAACAGGGCCGTAGGAACAAAAATTATTTTAAGGGGGTAGTACTACCCCGAAATAGTTTTAAGGACCTTTTTTTTTTCAGTCATTTTTTCTGTTAATTTCTTATATATATATATATATATATATATATATATATATATATATATATATATATATATATATATATATATATATATATATATATATATATATATATATATATATATATATATATATATATATATATATATATATATATATATATATATATATATATATATATATATATATATATAAGAAATTAACAGAAAAAATGACTGAAAAAAAAAAGGTCCTTAAAATAATTTTTGTTCCTACGGCCCTGTTTATCACACACAGATGTTGATTTATCAACATCTGTGCCGTTTAATAATTATGTTTTTGCTTGCTATACAGTTTTCTTAACTTAGTGTGATTTGTACTTGCCCATACAGTATTGCCGTAGGTTAGATAACTATGTATAAAAGAAAAATAGAAATTTTTTAAGGACCTAAAATTTAAAAACTTCATTTTGTTCTTTAATACTTTATCTTTAGCTTTTTGTGATTCATTCTGTTACTTTATGAAAAAAAAATTGTACCATGTATTTGTAAAATATTTATTCAATACTATTTTCATATTTTTGTCACTTGTGTCACTTCTAAGAATCTTTCTTGAAATTTTATATACAATTTTTTTTTTACAAAATTGTCTGTTGGTTTCAGCAAGGGAACAAAAATCCAGTAAAAAGGCTTTTTAAAAATTTATACTTTTTTTTTAACTATTTACCTAATATTTTACACAGAATGAGTAATCCTAACAGTTAAATTTAATATTAAAATGGTACAAAGTAATTATTTTTAAATGATCATAAGATAATTTTCAATGAAAGCACGTTGAAGCTTATTAGGTGTTGATTAGACAATAGTTATCTTTTTTTTTATTCCGCTCATGTAAATATTATTTGTAGATGGAATTTAAAAAATCAATGTTTAAAAAAAGTTAAAAAACAAGTTCTGTTTAGAACTTCCAATTTTTGTTTAAAACCACATTTAATTACAGTTCAAAATATGTTTTATGTTCAAATACTTACTCGTATTCACTTTTACAAGCTACCTACTAGTACACATTCTTAGAAAGCATAAGCAAAGTTGATTTAAAATCAAAACACATACTTATTGTTAATACTTACAATTGTATTTACATTACTAATAGTAAGTATGGGTATTCAACAAAGAACTGTAACTTAAATTTTAAAACAAAATAAAATGTTTAAAATGTTTAAAAAAGGTTTCACTCGCAGCAGTGTGAATGAACTGTGAAATAAATTGTTTCTGTATCTAAAACCTAAAACTTAAAACCAAAAAAACTATCAAATTTATAATGGCTAATCGTGCAAATTTGTTACTTTCTAATTATTAATATACTTTTTTTAAGTAAAATATTGATTTCGGGAAAGGGGAGGCATAGCTGCATATGGAGGCACAACCGTTTTTTAATATTTCCACAACTGCATACTTTTGATATTTTTCAAAGTTAGGTAATTACGAATAACAACAATTACAATCGTCACACTTGAATGCTCCAGGTAAAAAATTGAATAGCAATAGTTTTGTTTTGAGATGTTGGAAATCAGATTTTGTATCATTTTATCTAATTTTTATAAATGAGTTTTTGAATAACATGTAAACCTAAGAGTATATTGAATGAAAAAAATCAGACTGTAAGTACAAAGAATGCTTTTTCAGTATGCAAACATGCAACAAAATCAACAAATAATCTGAGCTATGACAATTGTAAAGAAAATGTACCAAGAAAAGTGTACACCCAACGGTTTTTGTAAGGGTACAGTTGTGCCTCACAATGGGGGCAAAACCGTTTTTTTCACTAAGTGTAATTTTTGTGTTATAACATTTTCAAAAACCGTTTAATTTGTTTCTTAATTGCATCAATTTAAAGCTTAATGATGTGGTTATTGAAATAAACTGTTAAAAAAACGCGTTTTTATTTTCATATTAATCCAAAGATTACGCTGGCGGTTATGCCCCTATTTCCCCTATATATTATCAACCATCATTTTTTAACAAAGCCAAAATAGGGGAAGGTGGGGTACAGTAGATTGAAGGGCAAAGTGGATAAGTTCTTACTGACAATATTCTCAAAGATTAGGATTTTTTTCATCATGATAAAACATTTTATAAACTCATATATCAGCCATCTTTATTTAAAGTTGTTACCTCATAATATTTGACTACCTTTTTTTGTTGGCAATTTTTGTTTTTAGCTAACTAAAGTAAATTTTTTTACCTTTCTTATGTTTTTTATGGAGATATTGGCTAAAAGTTTATTAGGATTATTGGTATTTATGCTTCCTTTCAATAGTTTAGCTTTTCCTTTAATAACACTCATGCCCCAAGAAATTAAACTTGAACTTAATTTGTTATGGTAGGGCACAGTGAATTGGGGTACAGTGAATCTGTTGATTTACTAAGCCCCATTAATAATCTTAAAGCATTTTTAACAAAATGATTACATGCAAATAAATTTATTCGTTTCGAGTTATAAGACATTATGTTACTATCTTTTTTATTTATTTTTTTAACTAATTTTGAATGTAATCAATACATCTATATTTTGAGTAGGTTTTTTTAATTTAATGAAGTAACAGAAAAGTATTCCTTCATTATGGCTTTATAATATTTTATGTGTATTATTGTTCTGTAAAAATGGTT